GTGACAGTGATTCTGTATCCAAAGACTAGGAATATTTCTATCTCTTATTATATAGACACCTTTGAAAATTCAGCTCTTGGTTTTCTTTCTTTTTTTTTTTTTTCTGGAATTGATCAATGTTAGTGTTAGCTTCATCACTGAAAAGATAACTATCTTTGGAATCCTGGTGATGTGCCCATAACAAGCTAAACTGGCAGAGCCTGTGAACTTGGCATCACAAAAGTAGGATTCTTAATCTCAGTTTGAGCACCAGCCTCATCATTTATAAGCCATAAATGACTAAGTTAGCTTCTTAAAATTTTAGTTATTTTTACCTATAAATAGGGATCACACTAACCTTGTCTAAATCAAATGATCGTTATGGTCAAGACCTATGGCATAGAGTGTTTGTATAAGCCACCAACATCCATAGAGCATATTTGTCTTACCATTGATGATCAGAGACTAGTGACGGGCACATTGTAAAGCATATGGATGCAGCTGCATTAGGGCTGAACTTTTTAGCATTGCATAGACATACTGCATTGTACACAGGCAGCTATAAATGCATGATGAACAAAAATGGAACCAAAAGGTTATTTGTGTAAATGTGATAGTTTCCAGCTGGTCAGACAAGTCATAATGGAGAACAGAACTTCGTGGCTGATTGAATAAGAAAAGGGACAGAATTTGGTAAGTTGAAGGAAAGTACAGTCTAGAAGACCGTTCTGTAAGGAAAATATGAGCCCTGGAGGAAGAAAGAAAGGAACCATAGACAAGCAGAAAGGACTAGCAGGGAAGTTCTTTGAATTGAGGGATGAGGATCATCGACCTGTGAGAGGCAAATATGTACATCTTATGTTAAGAACTTAAAACCTTCGAGGGGCGAAGAGGACCTGCTGTGCCTTACTGATCTCACCACTCCTAGAGACCATTTCCTCTCACATTCCAGTGGGACAGACGCTGTCTCTGACTTGCAGGAATCTCTTGTCCCAGTTGGGCCTTTGAACTGATTTTCAAGTTCTACAAAGTAGCCACAGTGCCCAGCATGGAGGTGTCAAGCCTGCAGGTTTATACCTGGGCCTTGACTGGCAGCTTCACTGGAGCAAAAGTTATTGCTACAGGAAATTAGAGGCCATGAATTTTCCTTTCTTTGTTTTTGTTTCTGTTGTGGGTGTTGTTGGATGATTTGCTTTATGTGAGCCCTCAAACCCTAAGATTCTGATATATAATAGTGACGTCTGAACCCCAGGGGTGCCCTGCCTCCTGGTTTATAGCCGGCAGTCTATATAGTCAGCGAGCAGGATCAGAAAACAATACTTAATTAAATTGATCAGTTACAATGAGCAAAGGCTTATTTATTAAATATTAAAAGACTGACTCAATGAGTTTATGATATGAATCTGAAACTACAAAATTATAAAAAACCCAGTTCCCCAGTAAAGAAGAAATAAATAGGACTCCTTAGTAGGAGAATGAAATGTTACTTCTCTCAGAGGATTTAGATTTTTCAGCAGCATTTTTTAGCATCGATGGCCCCATTAAACCCTGTTATTTTCTTTGTAATTTGTGCCACTTAGAAATGATTTTCATTTAACTTTCCCATGGCTCATTTCTCTCCTTTAGAGCATTTCCATATGGTTCCCTGGTTAAAGTCCATGCTTTAACACATTTCCATTATGAGACTATAATAAGCACCAACTAAATAGCAATATGAAATATCCAGAACACAAAGGACCAACACGAGGAGAGATTGGGCATCTTGGCGGTAAATTTTTATTCTTGAATGCCTGCTGCCTTTTTACCTCTTGTGAGGATTTTTGATCCTCTACAGAAGACTCCTTTTCTGATGAACACGGGCTCTTAAGAAACAACTCTCACAATTCTTTAGGGGCAGCCTTTCCTTCCTATCACAAAGTCATTAGGTGGCACCTTTTGATAACATAGTGATGGCTGTTCTTCACCATAATGGAAAGAAAAGTTTTTCATTTTTGTTCCCTTATTGTTCCTTGAGCTTTGTGCCTTCCATGTTCCATTCTGAGCCTGTTTTCTATAAAAAATTAAGTGAGGATCATTTAGCCATCTAGACCCCTTCAAAAATAAGTTTCAATTCAACAAATACTTATGGGGCACCCGTCCCCTCTGAATGTTTTACAAAATACAGATATCATAGAAACACAATCCCTGTCCTCCTAAGTCTCAAAAGGTTTGTCTTTTTTTCCCCCGAGTAGTCATATAAACAAACATTGATTGTCCAGGTCTGACTTTGGTTAAAACCAGAAACATGTTTATCTGTGGAGAGTTCAGTTGTGTTTCTCTGAGCCTATTCACTCTGTATGATTTAAAGTACAAAGCAGACATACAGCTATATTAAGACAAGGTGAGAAAGAGTTCAAGTAGCGTGAGAAGATGAGACACGGAGGGAAGAGTCAAGGTGATGATGTCATTGAAAGTGTTTGCTCCCCCAGCACCACACGCTGTGGCCGTACCCACCACCGCCATCCTGGCCCTGCACATGCACACCCTGACATTATAATCTGACTATGAGTCCACTAAGAACTGAAACTCACAGAGTAGCAAAGATGCCAGTCATGGGAGAGGCCTTGTGAAAGTGGTGGGATTTACTTAGATTTTGAAGGAAGAAGGTAGGGATTTGTCAGCCAGAGATGACAATATGAGGGATATTAAAATGGCAGACACATATGGGGGGAAAATATCAGGTAAATTCATGTGACTGGAGAATCTTCTTCAAGAGGTCCTGTTTTTTTACACCATTATTCAAGGAAGTGGGTCCACATCTCCCTACGGAGACCTGCTTCCTGTGTTCCAATAGCTTGTCAATGAGATTAATTATTCTGCTATATGTGTAGCTCACTGGAGAATAAAGAATAAAAATAGTAAGCTGATATATGACCAGGTGTTCAAATGTGTATATCAGAGGTACATGCAATGAAACAGTGTTTCATTTTCCCTCTGACCTTGGAGCTTTATATGGGAGGGAGGGTAAAGGTGTAAGCTCTGCTTAGTATTGGTAGCTTAGAAAGATAGGTCCATCTCAGAGAGGATACCCCATCCATTTGCTCTTAGATTCATGCATGAGGTGTGGGAAGAATTACTCTATTAATTAATTTTTTCATCCACCCCATTTGTGCAGAATGCTTTACCAGAACTTCTTATAGCTCATAGGAAAATCAAAAAGCTTTCTTTAAATTGTCTGATACATATTGAAGAGTTTATAGAACAGACTCATAAATTCAGTGAAAGCTTAATTTCCATAGAGCAGTTGGGTCGGCTAAACCCTCAATGGTCATCAGCTCAGTTTCCTGG